AATAATCACCAATTTAGAATAGCAGGCCCCGGAAACTCTTAACATATAGGAGCATATTGTTTGTCATCTCTTGGAAGAAATTGTCTCTGGCTGACACTAAGCAATAAAGGGATTTATAAAGGATGAGAGCAAGTCTCAAAACAGCAAGGGGGTGAACTAGCTTTGCATCAGCTGGCTAGCAGAGTTCAAAGGATGTCAGATCATAGGGTCTTTCTTCCTCCAATGTTATCTTGTATCTTGGCAGATTCGATGCCAGTTTCTGCTTCCACACAAAATGGTGCTAGCTTTTCCCACCAGAGTGGTATCTATTTATCTACTTGCATTTTTACATTCTTTTGAACTGCTATGTGGGCAGGAGCTCACTCTGCCACCTGGTTCTAGTTCACCCACTGGTATGTGCCCTAGATCAGGCTTTTCAACCTTTTCACCCATTGTACCACTTTTGGGATATGGCAATATTTGAGTACCACCAGTCGCCTAACAAGGTGTCAAAAACTTGATGACCAAAAAAAAAAAAAAAGGAAAAAGGTGATAAACTACAGGTAGTCCTCGACTTACAACAGTTTGCTTAGTGACTGTTCGAAGTTACAATGGCACTGAAAAAAGTGCCCCCCAAGTCACAGCCGAGCAAGACACCTGCCTGCCCGCCTGGCCGTGCTCTTCCTCCTGTCCGAGGTTTTCATTGTTGTGAGCATTTCTGTTGAGGATTGGCAGTGGGGGTGGGGTGGGGGATGTTTGGTTTTTATTCTCCCCATCTACTGGGTGGTTGCAGAAGGTTTTGGTTACTTCACATGACCCTGGGACACTGACCATCATAAATATGAATCAGTTGCCAAGCATCTGAATGTAAATCACAAGACCCTGGAGATGCTGCAACATTCCAGCTGATCGGCACTTCTTCTGGGCTCAGCAGAAGCACCAGGATCAGTGCTTCTTTCCAGCTGATTGGTGCTTCTTCAGGGCTCAGCAGAAGCACCAGGATCAGTGCCAAGCTCCAGCTGGAGCCTGGAGCTGATCCTGGTGCTTCCGCTGAGCCCTGACAGCCCTGCAGCTCCAGCCATCTCTCGCTCAGGCTTGTGTGATGCTGCGCTGGTTCAGCTCATTTCCATCCCTCGCTACCACTTTTCTAGGATGGTCGCGTACCACCTGCCAGGTGCCAATGTACCAAAGGTGGTACCCGTACCACTGGTTGAAAAGCCCTGCCCTAGATAGCGTTCATGCATTAACAAAACAAACTAGCAATCTTAGGCTGCCAGAACTACTGATAAAAAGCATTGTAGACTTCCCTTCCCATGTATGCCACATGCTAAAAAAAATCCCTTCACTTTCTTCTTTTCTTTTTTAATTCCATTTTCTATATTACTTTATTTTTCTTTCTGAGAAAATTTCCAATAATATTATAAAAATGATTCAGAATCAGAATAGAGCTGGAAGGGAATAAAACAGAGAGAAGAAATACTGTACATCCATAACAAATGATACATATATCACTAAAGAAAAGGGAACAATTGTTCAATGCCAACTTAACATAAAGCCTTGGAAAACTGTGTTTTCAAAGATTTGTGGAATAGCATCGGGTGGGATCCTTATATACATTCCAATAAATGGCCATGTTTAACATAAGAAACCAGAAGCACACCCATTCTGCTTGATCTTACTAGACAGGTAGAAACTACTACAAATGACCACTTCCTCAAATAGCAGTTTTGGTCACCACGATGTAAAAAAGATGTTGAGACTCTAGAAAGAGTACAGAGAAGAGCAACAAAGATGATTAGGGGACTGGAGGCTGAAACATATAAGGAACGGTTGCTGGAATTGGGTATGTCTAGTTTAACGAAGAGAAGGACGAGGGGGGACATGATAGCAGTGTTCCAATATCTCAGGGGCTGCCACAAAGAAGAGGGAGTCAAGCTATTCTCCAAAGCGCCTGAAGGCAGGACAAGAAGCAACGGGTGGAAACTAACCAAAGACAGAAGCAACCTAGACCTAAGGAGAAACTTCCTGACAGTTAGAACAATTAACCAGTGGAACAACCTGCCTCCAGAAGCGGTGAATGCTCCAACACTGGAAGTTTTTAAGAAGAAACTGGACAGCCATTTGTCCGAAATGGTATAGGGTTTCCTGCCTTTATATATATATATATATATATATATATATATATATATATATATATATATATATATATATATATATATATATATATATATATATATATATATATATATATATATATATATATATAATTCTTTAACTCTTTGTCAGAAAAAGAAATTTGTATATATATATATTATTAAGTATTCTAAAAATAAAAAGGTGATTCCTGGGTAAATTCATCTTAGCAAGTACAAAAATCCTCCTAGAAGCACAAAGCTGAAGACACCAGCCTGAAGATGACGAATGGGACTTCGTCGAAATGTTGCCAAGACACTTCCAATTTTACGTGGGAGAAAACCCAAATAACCAAAGACCTACATACAAACACCCGCGAAAACCTCAGAAAACATATATATATATATTCCTATTTCCCTTCTCATACCAAAATTTAATATTCTAATTACAAATCTTATCTTTCTAGTTATGATAATACTTCTATTTCTAGCAATTATCTATTCTCTACCATATTCAAACATCTAATTAATAATATAATATTTCAACTAATGGATGAAAACCTCTATTTTCTTCAGTCTTACTCTATCTTTCTTCCTTTGCCAACTCACTTTCCAAGTCAATGCATTTGGATCATCAAGTAAATTTTCCTCTGTTTTTATGTATATTATTTGGAATAAGAAAGACCATTTGGTTAAAGTATTTTTGGAAGAACAAACCC